ATTGATTTGTTCCCTTGATCTTGAGCAATTAGTCAAGACTGTAATTGTTTTTTTGGGCAGTGTGCTGTTGTTTATTTCCACACCTGATAGAGATGATGAGAAGGGGATCTCTTGGGTTGACTAAGGAAGGAAATGTAGATGTAAGGGTAATTGCTTTGAAGCTGGAAAGTCCTGGCTGAAAAGGAACAAGTGCTTTTAGGATTTACAGTATTTTAGTACCAGAAGAACCTTTGTATTTTGTGGAATTGAAGATGTTGGTAATTTAATTTGTTCCTGTAGTCAATCTAAAGCAGGTTCACCCAATGTGAAATGCACTCAATTTGTGTAAATTGTTTATGATTTTTGTTTCTGCAGCAATTGAGCAGAACAGGGTGGATTTCTGCACATGGAACTGTTAGGTGATTTTATTTTAGAGGATTGTGACTTTACGGCTCTAATGCATTGAAGATGGCATTCATCTTTGGCAGCAGTTTGCTTGACAAAGGCAGAAATCACTAATAATTCATTCAGATTACAACTCCAGCTTCCTATGGCACATGTGAAATGTAAGAAGACTCTGGATGTCAAAAACTGGTTAGCAGTTGCTCAGTGCCGATAGCCAAACTAGGCAGCTAATCAAAGTTGGAGTATGACAGCTGTCAGGCAGCAATGTCTGTCAAATTACGTCAAACTCCAGCCATTTAAAATTGATTCATTTTGACATTTGGATATTGCATGTTCTTATATTACTATAGCGACGGTAAAGCAAACCAGATTGTTAGCACTGCAGGTCCACTGGTGGTTTGTGTTGGAGTAGAGTTTGAATATTTCTCCTGTAGAAAAAAGTAATTGCTACCTTATAATTATGTACGACAGCGAGCAACTGCTTTAGCCCAGTGGTGGACAATCTTTTTGAAAATATAAATGATTTGGGGTTTAATATTTCTTGATTGGTCCAAAAATCCAGAAATATTCAATCAAAACACATTTAATTTGTTGGCCAACCAGAGAGCTTGGCCACCACTGCTGCAGCAGTCAGACCAGGAATTGACCTGGTTTGTATCCTTTTGCCCCTTGTGTTAATTGATCAAGGTTTGGGTGATGGACGATGCACTAAAATTGGCTGCTGTATTAGGATCCGTGGGAAGATACAGCCAAGATTTCTGCTGTTAGGAATTTGAGAAAAATCTCTATTGATCTGTGTTTGGTGGATCTTGTAACGTATTCCCATGTGGATGTCAGATGAGGACAGAACCTCTACATGGTTCAGGCTCACATATTGAAGATGGCCATAAATTTGGATCAAAGCACCAATTTACCTCACAATATCACTGAAAATCGATTTCTGCTTGTGGAAGATAAGAGAGAGGAGTCTCTTCCAGTGTCCTGGCCAACAATCCCTCAAATAAAGTTGGTCATTAATTTAACGGCTGTTTGTGGGGCATTGGTGTGTGCAATTGATGTGCCATGTTTGCCAACATATAGTTACTCCACACACAGTAAATCCTGTGGAGCGCTTTGAGACGCCCTCCTGATTGGAAGGCGCTATACCAAATGAAAGGATTATTATTTGTGATTATAAGCAAAGCCTGCTTAAAATAATGAGCTATGTGAAGTCGCTGCAGACTGACTACATTTATCCCTCCCATTAATATACAGAAAATCTCTCAACTACATTTTCTGCATTGTAATTTAAATGCAGGATAAAAATGACCCTAAATGATTTATAACTGCGCTGTCTGGAAGCTTCTGATACCTTACAATGTTATTCAATCACAGGATCGTTGTGTGAAATCTGAAATAGGCATTTTTTCACAAATATTTCATCGTGGTAGAAATGTTTATTTTGGTGTAACTGTGCCAAATTAGGGGCATTGCAAACTGAGGAGAGTTCTTGAAGGCCAGTGGGGAAGTGGAGAAGACCATTTAAAAAGCAACTAGAATTTTGGGGTTTATATATAGAGAAACAAAGTGTTGTTGAATTTTTACAAAATATTAGTTAGGCCATACTTGAAATATTGATCAGCTCTGAGCACTTGTAGAAAGGACATGGGAACCATGAAGATGATACCGTAGAATTAACTGGGCTGACACTGTAGATTAGATTATATGGAGAAACTTGTTTTTTGTTTGTTGTAACATAGAAGAGTAAGGAAGGGCAAATCAAGGTTTTCAAAATTCCAGTTTTGATAAAATGGAGAAAGACTATTTCTGTTGACTGCTCGGTAAAGAGGGTATGAATCGCCAATTATCACCAGAGGTTAAAGGATTTTTATTTTGCACAGTATCAGAAAATGCATTTCCTTACCACAAATAGTTCTTTAAGACAAATCCATAAGAACATTTAAAAAGATTTTGGGTAAAAACAACAACAAATTACATTTGTAGAGCAGCTTTCACATCGGGAGAAACTCAAGTAAGACTTATTGAACTTCATAGAGGAAAGAGGAGAATGAGATTAGAGAAAATTCAAACACACAGCAGACAGACATGATGGTCTAAATCTCTAATGCTGTAAACCTATGATTCTCTGTAATCAGATGAAAATTTCATATTTTCCTGATTTCTTTAGCAACAGCAACATAAACTTGCAATTTATATAGCGCCCTTCCTACTGGGTAGCGTCCCGGAGCGCTTCACAGTGGTGGAGTCTGACGCCGAACCAAGGGGAGAGGGAGGGGGGAGGTGATTATAAGCACCATCAAAACGGAAAGTCTTTAGGCGGGATTTGAAGGTGGGGAGGGAGGGGGCAAGGCGGAGGGATTGGGGGAGAGAGTTCCAGAGTTTGGGGGCATAGTGGCTGAAGGGCACGAGAAACAAACAGGAGGCCGGAGGTAGGGGATGGTGGAGTGGGGGGTAAGCAGGTCGGAGAGTTAGGGAGGTGCGAGGGATTGAAGTGGTTTAAGACAGCAGCAGCCTGAGCACTGAAGAATAAGGACCTATTTAGTAACATAAACTGCCTTGGTTGCTATGGTTTGTCAACACAATGTGTTAGCTTGTTTAAAATTGGCAGAATACTACCCCGCAGTCCAGTGCGATCAGTTTGATTTTCACACTCTGTTTATACAGTTATTTGTAAACGCGAGTGATGAAAATTTCCCACACAGCCTGGCTTCCGGTTGACAATGAAGGAGCGATCACGTTGCTTTCCAGTGAATTGGAGTGGTTGCTTGCTGAATATGGCTTGGAGATGTGCAACTGTTGGATTGGGGACACCAGCTGCAGTGAAAAGGGATGACCCAGTTTCCTACGCTAGCTAATGCCTCCGTCCTTTACATGTGCATGAACAAAGCCTTCCTATCATTCATTTTAGAGTCACAGTGTAGTGACATATGACACAATTATACATTTTAATACTGAAGCCGTGGGGTGTCCGAGATGCACAGAGCCCAATCCTGAATTACATTTCAGTTCTGTTATGATGAGTAAATTCAATGTGAATTTCAGGATTCCCAGATTAAACTAATCTTTCTGGTCTTTACATGCAGAGCAAAAATCAAATTGACAATGTGAACTAGTAATGAACACTGAGTCTAGCCTGGAGTGTGATTGTATTGCTTGTCTGTAGTCCTGTAATGTAGTGGGAGCCCTGTAGCTCAGTGGTTAGGGCACTGGCCTTGCAAGTGAGAGACCAGGGTTTGATTCCTTGGGCAAATTTTCTTACTCCATACACAGGCTGATAATAATCCCTCAAGACAAAATTGGTCCGGGGATAAATTGGTCACTTCAGTCCACACCTGTTTGTGGGACGCTGCTGTGTGCAATTGGCTGCCATGTTTCGTCCACAGACATACAGCCAATTCACTTTACAGTATATTCTGTGAAGTGCTTTGCAACTTCTCGAAGATGTGGAAAGCGCTATATCAAATGCAAGGATTAGTATTATTTTATCAATCTGATACCCAGAGAAACCAGGACAATTTTTAAAAACAATGTTTATCTCAAAGCTATTCTTGTTCTTAGTCCTTGTTGTTTTGTCTTCAGACAATTGCAGATCAGTTTGTATCAAACAACAAAGGTGTTGATTAGTGATAACTGCTGAAGGTTAAATGGTTACTACGTTTTGCTGAGTTTGAAAGCTCAATAGGTTATGCTTGCATTGAAATTGTTCTTTAAAATGTGTCTCAACCAGAATGCTAATGACGGAGAAGCATTCTGCCTTATTGGCCATCTATATTTTGATTGGGTTGCTACTGTCCTGTGTAGAGAAACCTTGGTCAGTGGCTATGGCACTCGTCAGCTTTTATTGTCTCGTCGCTTTGTAGGAAATTCAATGACTTCATTTTATGAATTGCTCCAGCAGTTTGGTGCGTGATGTCTTTCTTCTGTCTTCGCCATTTGTTTTTCTGTATTCCTGATTGAATTGGAGAAAGTAAAATGTTTCACTCTGGGGCTTGCCGAGACCAGTATTGGACAGAAACCCTGACTTGCCAGCAGCACTTGATTGCAAACCAGCCAGCAGTTGGAATGTTTTCTAACAGCCTCAGGCTAGTTTAAAGCCATTGCATCGCATCAAAGTAGTCTAAGAAAACTATTCAAAATCCTTTTTTTAAAAAAAAAGCTAGGTGTTTAGAAATCGAGTATCTTCTGTTCATCTGCAAATAGTTATAACTGAATACTGTTTGTATTAATGCTTTACTTCCTTTATTTGGTCCTTTGTAAGCAGTAAGTAGCAATCCGCTTGTTAGTAGCTTGGTGGATCGCTTTCTGGGGGAAATAATCCCTTAAAAAAATTATTTGGTCACTCAATCCACGACTCTTTGAGGGACGCTGCTGTGCGCAATTGGCTGCCTTATTTCGCCCTCAAAATATAAGTCACTACACTTTACAGTATATTCTGTGAAGCGCTTTGAGATGTCTCGAAGACATGATAAGGCGCTATATCAAATGCAAGGATTATTATTATGGTTGTATCTTTCATCGCAGGCTCTGGTTTGACACTGGTACATTTTGAGAGTGGTTTGTATTGCTCTCTCTTTCCCCGGGTACAGCAAAGTGCTTGTCATTGTGGACCTACACCAATGTGGGGAGCTCCAAACGGCAGTGAGATTTTTAATATGAGCAAATTAATTGCTGCTGACATTAAGAGCTTAAAGGATAGCCAGGTAATTGCTTCACAGTTTTGTAAGTTTCATTTAAGAGTTTGCTTTACACTGGCTGCAACTGTAGTCACAGTCTCTTCAATAGAGTCTCACTGCTTCTGATGGACTGATTCAAGGTCTTCCTTTGCTTCGAAGCTGCATTTTATGATTGTGAGATACAAAAATCTATCAAATTAGCACATTCTCCAGGACTGTATAACCATCCCTTTTATGTAACTGGGATGAATGTGTTGTGAACGTCAGAACTTAAAGGCAAAGCAGTTTTCAATCAAGTAACTTCTCTGCTTGGGGATATGGTAGCAACTTGATTGATTGCAGCCAGATAAACTCTTAATAGCCTAGCGGTCTGTGTGACACAGTGATGGGAATGCTCAATATTCAGTTGGGAATCCATGTTAGAACTTTAATTCACCATTGAAGATTAATGCAAATATTTTGGCTGATAGATGCCCTCAGACTGCCTTCACATTTGTCAAAACAGGAGATTTCAACCAATCTGTTTGGGTGGGATTCAAATTCAGCTCAATATTCCTGGGTCTGCTCCAGGTCTGTCACAGCTACTCAGTATCAGCCAATAAGAGGTCTCTCATACCTTGCTGCACACCAAACCGCATTGGTTTATTTATTATACCTGGACAGTAAAAGGAATCTTTTTTAAACACATACAAATGAATCCAACAATACATTTTCATGACATTTTTTTAGATTTTACTACTTACTGTAATGTAACCTGTAATCCGCTGTGCCTGTTATGTAACGCTGTTAAAGCTTTTTTTTAGAAAATATGTTTGTTGAACACCAGTCCGAAACTTTGCCTTGAGGCTTTCTGATAAAGAAAATAGATGAACAACAGTTGGTAACATCAAAGATAGCTATAGACAGTTGAAATTTTGCATGGATATACTATCAATTCAGCACAGTTATGGTGATGGTGAACATGCATCTTTAGATAAGAAAAAGCAAAATGGAAACTCCTGCCAGTTTTTCAAAGTCTTTCTATTTGTTCACAAAATTGTCAGAACTTTCTTTATCACAAATAACTATTTGCAAACAATAAGATGAAATTGACAAAAGCTGTCACTGTAAACTGTTTCAACGCACAAACTATGATTTATCAATAAAAATGTTATTGTGTATAGTTTAATATTTTTTGCATTTTGGTAATAATAATCCTTGCATTTGATATAGTGCTTTTCACGTCTTCGAGACGTCCCAAAGTGCTTCACAGAGTATACTGCAAAATGAATTGACTGTATATTTGTGGGCGAAGCGCAGCAACCAATTGGTAATTTGAGTTAAGGATGATTAAGGAACGATTAATATGATTAACACGATTAAAATGGGTTGCCAGAGGAGTGGCAGGCCTCCTACTAGGACTATGATACTCCAATAGAATGTTGTTCAACCTGAGAGAATTATTGCTTTTATTGTGGTTATTTTGTTTAATATATTTACTAATTCTGTCCTGTACTTCCTAAATCGTTTAGGTTTTATTGTATACGGGGGTAAAATAAACTTGTATTTTGTATTTGAATACCATAAAAAACGTTTTCAGACAATAATACTTCCATAGAATGTTGTTCAACCTCAGAGATACAAGTTTTTTTCGGTTTGTAATTTAGGATTTTATAGTATTCTATGTTTTGATCTACTTCATCTACGGAAAACTACTTATTGGGTCCTAAGACAATAATTTTGAAATGATTTTCTGACCCCTGGTCACAAGTATTTATGACTTGTGAGTCCTTATTGAGAAAATCCATGTAATAAATTATTGTTTTAGACCCTAGTATTATTGTCTTTACTGGTTTGGTGAATTTCCATTCTTGTTCATCTTTTTGCTAAGTAATTTTATGGATAAGCAATGTTGATGCACCTTGAATGATTGTTAACTTGGAACACTGTGGCAAAGATAATATTGTACTATTGCCCAGTTCACCGTGGCATTATTCCTGCTCCCTTAGATGTCAGACAATTTCTGCCTCTTCACCCACCACCATTACCACAAAAAAGAACAAAATCCCTGTGTCAAAGTTCCAGACCAAGCTGTAAGGTCAGATGGTCAGGATGGTATCCTGGAAGTGGGCTGAAAAGGCTTCTTCATCTGAACCTGTCTGGAGCCCATGTACTAAATGGTTTCCAGTTAGAACATAAGAACATGAGAAATGCTAGACGATAAAAGACCCAAGGTCCAACCAGTTCGCCTTCCACCTTCCTGGCGATTTGCATGCAAATATGTTCCAAACTCCCTATGTATCCCATTATGTTATTTTTTGAAAGAAAATGATCTAATGTGTGTTTAAAGGTATCAACATTTCCTGCCTATATTGTATTGATCCAAGTGTTAAAATCTTAAGGGTATACAGGGGCTAACTTGTCTTTGTATTTTATCACCAACAAAACTCTTGTGGTTTATTGCAGGCCCACAGTTAGCTCTGGCAAGACTTCTGTCAGGTAAGTTTGTGTGTGATTATTTTCTTTAGATTTAGTAAAATGAAGATAAGATCACAGAGAATATCAAACCATATGAAAGGCTTTAGAAAATATGTTCATAAATAATGGATGATTAAGGAAACTGTGGTAGGATTGATGTACATTTTCAAAAAGGACTTGTTACAAGTGACTAAGGGACGGCAAATTTAGATGAATGTTGTGTGTTTGCGATCACCGAGGAAAATCTAGATTGCCTTCCCAAAGTGGAGGTAATTTTCCAGGTCAAATAGGAAGCAAATATAATTAGATATTACAAATTGTAGTGATAAAGTATTTGTCCGAACAGTGGTGCTGGTAAAGGTACTGGTAAATAAATTGTTTGGGTTCTGGTATGTATTATGGAGGAATTTGGAAACTGGAGAGGTGCCCATGATTTGCCACAAAGGTGGCACTAATTTACAAACCAGAAGAAAAAATTAACTGAGGGAAATGCAGGCTATGAGGTTGATTGGGCATGTGGCTATCTCGAAGGAGGGAAAGTGGAGTCCTGTAGCTCAGTGGTTAGAGCACTCGGCTTTGCAAGTGAGAGACCTGAGTTCAATTCCAGGCAGAGGGCGAAACCTTGGGTAAGTTTCCTTACTCCACACAGAGCCTAATAATCCTCCAAAACCAAAAATAATAATAAATTGGTCATTTTCAATCCACGACTGTTTGTGGGACATTGCTGTGCACAATTGGCTGCCGCGTTCGCCCACAAATATACAGTCAATTCACTTTACAGTGTGTTCTGTGAAGCGCTTTGGGACGTCCTCCCGATGTGAAAAGCGCTATATCAAATGCAAGGATTATTATTATTATAAAGTGAATGCTGAGAGAAATGTAGAATTCGGATAGTCACTATAGCTTTACTGGATTGATGTCATACATGGTAAATCTACTGGTTCTTTGCCAGAATAATCTTAATCCTTACATTTTATGTAGCACCTTGTCTCATCAAAATGTCTCAAAGCGCCTCACAAAATTTAATGTAAAGTGTAATGACTATTTTATAGGCAAACACGGCAGCCAGTTTGCACACACCATTTTTCACCAGTGGCCATGACATTAATGAGCAACTTTATCGGAAAGATTAACTAGAATATTGTAACCTTGTTTTAAAATAGTACCATGAGTGCTGATCATCCAGCTGAACAAGTAGATGAGACCTCAGTTTAACATCTTGTCAGAAGTACTGTATTCCCACAGCATTATATTGCAGTGTCAATCTAGATATGAGTTCAAAGTTCCAATGTGGGGCTTGAACCCATAACCTTCTGGCTCAGAGGGGAGGGAGCCATCAACTGAGCTAGGTTGATTTGTGGACACAGAGAAATCAGTAGACATTATTAGTATTAGTAGACAAAACTTTGACATTATACCACAATTGGTCTGCAAGTTGCTGAATGGAGAAGATGTGAAGGACTTCTGAAGAGAAGGTTTATTGCTAGTGGGAACATTACTAGTGCTGATTCACTTTGCACAACATAATTGGTGTGGATGAGGGGACAGAATCCCACATTGTACTTTACTGACGATTTCAAAAACTAGAGTCCAATGTCAATTTCTAGTTGTATTACTTGGAATTTTAATTGGAGGTAATTTATGTGGAATATCCTAACAAAACTTTGATATTACCTGCAGAGCTGCGTTGCACACCAGGAGAATTTTCTTGCAAGACTGGGACTATTCAGTGTATTCCTCTAACCTGGCACTGTGATGGTTGGCAAACCTGTGAAGATGGCAGTGATGAACTGGATTGCCCAGGTAAAATATTGTATGTAAAATGTTGGGATGAACTGTATTCTGTATTTAATGGGTAAAAATTGAGTTTTCCCTACATAGAAATGGTAGGTTTGTTGGAATTGACATCTGTGTGCGCAGATAAAAATAGATGTACAAATTGTTGCTTTTATTGTGGTTATTATTTTGTTCAATAGATTTACTAATTCTATCCTGTACTTCCTATGTAAAAGTATAGATGAATGTACAATATTTTAGGTTTTATATTAGGATGGTAAGTTTCCTTACCTAGCAGTAAGCAGGAACCCGGTTGTTAGTCGATTGGCAGATCGCTTTTCCCGGGGTAATAATCCCTTCAAAAAAAATAAGAATAAGAATTTGGTCACTCAATCCACAACTGTTTCTGGGACACTGCTATGTGCAATTGGCTACCGTGTTTCCCTCACAAAAATATGCAGTCAATTCACTTTAGAGGTATATTTTGTGAAGTGCTTTGAGACGTCTCAACTATATGATAAGCCGCCATATCAAATGCAAGGGTTATTATTTTTGGGATAAAATAAACTTGAATTTTGTATTTGAATGTGCCCATTTTACTAAGCTTCCTGGCGGGGGGAGGGGGAGGTGTGGTGTGGTGGGGGAATGGTGTACCACATGATCTTTTAAAAGTGCAACAAGTGCAAAATATTTGCTGTATCAGCTGTAAAATAACCAGGCATGAATGATTAGTTTTACAGGGAGAGCTTTATGCACATATGCTGGACACAATTGGCTGTTGCGTTTCGTCCACAAAATATACAGTGAATTTCACTTACGGAATATTCTCTGAAACACTTTGAGACGTCTGAGGCAAGATAAGGCGCTATATCACATGCAAGGATTATTATTATCCTACAATTACAAGTCTGATCAGTCAGGACCATAACATTTAATATGACTTATGCAAATTCTGAGTTATAGGCAAACTGTTGTATGAAATCCGATTTAATCAATAATCACCACTGCGCGTACATTATTCAATGCAACCGGTAAGTGAGCATGGGGTAGTTCAACACTGCAACCGGTAACCTCGCAGGAGGTGATTGATCAAGGACACCAGCGCAGGCCGGACAAGCTCGCCAGTGTCCTGACTGCGCGGCTACAGGAGGTCACCACCTCCTGCCTCTCAGGGCCCACCACTGCACACGGACGCAGAGAGATACACACACTCACAGACAGACACTCACACATACATACACTCACTGACAAAGAGACACGCACACAGTCAGAGACGTACATTCACATACACAGAAAGACACACGCTCAGACAGAGAGAAGCTCAGGACCCGAGCAGGGGGGAGATGGTCAGGGTGAGGGGAGGGACGGGAGGGAGCGAGGAGGGGGGAAATGGTCAGGGTGAGGGGAGGGAAGGGAGGGAGCGAGGAGGGGGGAAATGGTCAGGGTGAGGGGAGGGAAGGGAGGGAGCGAGGAGGGGGAAGAGAGTCGAGTGGGGAGCTGAAGGCACGGTCAAAGAGAAAGGTCTTGAGACCAGCCTTGAAGGAGGAAAGGGAGGAGGCAAGGCAAAGGCACTGGGGGATAGAGTTCCAGAGCCTTGGGGCTGAGAGGCTGAAGGCCCGGCCACCGATGGTAGAGCGGTTGGGGCGGGGGATGTAGAGCAGACCGGAGCCAGAGGAATGGAGGGTACGGGCGGGTAGGTAGGGGGATAGTAGGTCGGAGAGGTAGGAGGGAGCAAGGCCGTGAATGGCCTTGTAGGTGAGGATGAGGATCTTGAATTTGATCCTCCGGGGGATGGGAAGCCAGTGGAGGCGAGCGAGGGTGGGAGTGATGTGGTCGCGAAGCCTGGTGCAGGACAGTACACGAGCTGCAGAGTTCTGGATGACCTGCAGTGTGGAGGGAGGGCCGGGAAGGCCTGCGAGGAGAGAGTTCCCATAGTCCAGCCTTGAGGTGATAAAGGTGTGGACCAGAGTTTCAGCCGCGTGAGGGGTGAGGTAGTGCCGTAGTCTGGCGATGTTCCGGAGGTGATGGAAGGCGGTGCCGGTTGTAGTGCGGATATGAGGGAGAAAGGACAGCTCAGGGTCGAACAGAACCCCGAGGTTCCTGACCGGCTTTGAGAGGTGGAGAGTGCGGCCTTGGATGCTGATGCTGTCAGCGCCTGAATATGTGCTGTATATATAGGTGCTGTCAGCGCCTGAAGGACACACACAGACACTCACAGAGAGAGACACGCATACAGAGGCAAGCGTTGGAATCGCTTTGAATCGCGTGAAATAAAGTTCTGTTACACATGCATCAATGGATCAAAACTACGTTTGCTGTGATTCAATGCAGCAGTGTAAATGCTCATGCGGCTACGAGTTGGTACGTTCAATGCTGCCATTCAGTGCAGGAGTGATGGAGGGTAGGGGAGCGCCATTTCGAGGTAGGAGTTGATTAGTAAGAGTGGTGCAAGAAATCAAAGTGGTTTTGATAGGAAACGGAATGGGACTCGGGATGAGTGGAGCGACTTGGGTGATTATAAGGTTTATGAAGATAAGACTTATGCAAGATTTTCTGTATTCGATGCTTGCTCAAAGACTTTCTGTCAGAAAATGTCACTAAGATTAATAAATCTATTTCAAGGAGATGTAAATTCCAGGATTTCTAACTAATATTTTACTCAAGTTGCAGAGCAGATCCTACACCAATGTGGCTAGTGTCATTTTGTGAAATTTGACTCGGAGGCATTATCCTATTAGACCAGGGGTGTCCAATCTTTTGACTGCGGAGGGCTGGATTTGTGAAGTGCCCGCGGGCTGCATAAGCAATATTTTTGTGTTTGCCTTTCCAGAAACCTAACTCTTAAGAATCGTAGAGAATTCCTATATCCTGAATAGTGTAACTGTATTGCTTAATTTCACTCTATTTTAGTTACAATGCAAACAACAACAACAACAAGATTTCATTTATGGAGCGCCTTTCACGTCGGGAGGACGTCCCCTTAAATAGGCAATGTAAAAATTCATACAAATTTTAAAGCAATAATACACTTATCAATAAAGTACATATATGCAGTAATATTCATTAAATCCTTAAATATAATCATCAAATCCATGTAATATTTCTCTCAGGAATTTCCGACTTATTTCCATGATGCAAAATGAAGCACCTTAGTGGGGGTTAAAATTTTCTTGGAGGGAGGGAGTGGGGTGTGTGGAGTAAATCTTAATGACTTAATAAAACTTAATAACCAGGGCCCTGGAATGTGTATCTTGATTAGGTACAAGTTCATTCTTTCATTAAGATTCAGCCACACTCGCACTCTCACCGTGCTGAAAAAAGACCAGTGCAATTTCTGCTCCCTGTGGACTGTGGAGTTTTACCCTGAAGACGAGAAAACCCATAGCAGTTGGCAGGTGGTGCAAAATGCTTGGTGGGGTAGATTAAATCACCCCCTCACTCTTGCCCCTTGAGGTTGATGGGCCACCAGTTGCACCATCTTAGATCATCAAATGGAAATCTCCATGCTTTCCCCTTCAAAGGACAGCACACATCCAAAATCACACCAGCTAGCTGTTCCAATCAGTTTACGTCACATGCCTTTGTAAATGTATAAAGTGACAAAGGATCATACTGTATTTAAAACTGAGTTTCCTTCCTGCATACTCCCAGTACTTTACAGTTTTGATGCCTTAAGCTATCAAATCAGTGTCTAGAAGTACCATTGCGAAGTCATGTTCCATGGTTTAGCAGCAATTTAATGTTGCGTGATTAAAGCCATTGGCTGAGAGGTACTTTCATTCTCTAGTCCAGTCAATGTGGAAAGTTGAAACAGTTTTTTTGTTTTTGGATTTGCAGGGTTCCCTCTAGGGATGGCCCAGGGCTCAAGAACTGTTGAGGATTTTCCCCAGCTCATACAGGGAGTGCACACACTGTGCAAGAATTGATTCAGAACTCTGTCGGTTCACCCCAGAAAACCAATATACTTATCAACGGGGTAGAATTCTAAAAGAATCCATTTATGTTCTGTAAACTTCTGTTGGCATTCTTGAGAATTGTTGCCGAGTTTGGATTTTTGATAACAAAAAGGTTTTGGTCTGTAATAATTTGCTTCTGCTCCACGTGGTGTGTGTCCTTCCTGTTAAAAGGCCACAGGGTCCCTGACTTCGAAGGGACAGGCTTCATTAAGTCATCAGTTGAAATGCATGAAATGAACCCTTACAATATTTTCACACTCCTGTGCTTCTCCTGTATTTATGAGATTATTTTCTTGACCACAGTGTGCAGGGAGATCATTATTTGTTGAACCTCTGAGAGTTAAGACTTGGACGATCACATCAGGTAAATGCCTGTTTGATGCTCAACAAATTCCAACCTTTGATTCAGTTGTCTTGGTTTCTCCAGTGACTTGCATGAGAGAAGGTGAACAGACAATGTATAAGCATTTGAGTTACATGGCTGAGCCTAACCAGGGACCTGCAGCTGTAAATCAGATGGATTCCCAGCTATTTTTGGATGAGGAATTATCTAATGACCATGAATTCCCAGCTCTGAAATTGAACATTGGCCTATTGCAAAACAATTTGCATGAAGCTGAAAAGGAGCTTCGAGCTCATAAGCAACAACAAATCTGGCTTTTACAGAACCAAGTGTCTGATGCCGAGCAGGAGCTTGCAGCAATAAAGCAGCAGAATATCTGTCTATTGGAGGACGGTATATTTAATACTAAGCAGGAACTTACAGCACTAAAAATGGAGAACATCCGACTACTGAGAAGCAGGCTCGCTGATGCAGATCAGGAGCTCGCAGACTTAAAACAGAGGAATGTGAGCCTCTTGGAAGACAAGTTGGTTGAAGTTCAATTGGAACTGGCAGCTTTGGAGCAACAGAATATCTGGTTGTTGGAAGACAAGCTCGCCATGGCAGACCAGGAGCTTGCCTCTCTCAAACAGCACAAAAGGCGCAAACTGGAAGACCAGCTGGCTGTAAATATGAAAGAGCTTTCAGCTCTTAAACAGCAAAATCTCCGGCTCTTGGAGGACAAGCTG